GTGTGTGTGTGTGTCTTAGTTACCATTTTGTCCTAGGCACATGTCGATTAGACACTAGGCCTGTTGTATATGAGTGCGTGGTGTGTATGTGTGTGTGTATATATATATATATTATATATATATATATTGTGTGTGTGTGTGTGTGTGTGTGTGTGTGTGTGTGTGTGTGTGTGTGTGTATGTGTGATTACTCACCTACTACATCTACTACTCATCTACTACAATAAAGATATCCAGATGTTGCACATGTGTCTTAACTTTCACATGTGTCTTAACTTTCACGATTACTCACCTATTTGTGGTTGCAGGGGTCGAGTCATAGCTCCTGACCCCGCCTATTCACTGATCGCTACTAGGTCCTCTCCCTGCTCCATGAGCTTTATCAAACCTCGTCTTAAAACTATGGATGGTTCCTTCTTCTACTACGTCACTTGCCAGACTATTCCACTTCCTGACAACTCTATGACTGAAGAAATACTTCTTAAAATCCTTTGACTCATCTGAGTCTTCAGCTTCCAATTGTGACCCCTTGTTTCTGTGTCCCATCTCTGGAACATCCTGTGTCTGTCCAACTTGTCAGTTTCTCGCAGTATTTTGTATGTCGTTATCATGTCTCCCCCGTGTGTGTGTGTGTGTGTGTGTGTGTATGTGTGTGTGTGTGTGTGTGTGTGTGTGGTGTGTGTGTGTGTGTGTGTGTGTGTGTGTGTGATGCTTCAGGTATCTTACACACAAGAGATATTCTTCCTGGTCTGAGTTCTTGGTAGGAAATGTGTAGAAGCAACGTTGGGACGAGTGTTACCTCTGTCATGATTGACCATTATTGTATCTAAAGTGAACGATAAATCTCTTAGTGATCACTTCAGATTGTGATGGTGGTGGTGGTGGTAGTGGGTGATGGTGTTGAAGTTGGTGGTGGGGTGTTAATGTAGGTAGTGGGGTGTTGATGTTGGTGGTGGGGTGTTAATGTAGGTAGTGGGGTGTTGATGTTGGTGGTGGGGTGTTAATGTAGGTAGTGGGGGTGTTGATGTTGGTGGTGGGGTGTTAAAGTAGGTAGTGGGGTGTTGATGTTGGTGGTGGGGTGTTAATGTAGGTAGTGGGGGTGTTGATGTTGGTGGTGGGGTGTTAATGTAGGTAGTGGGGTGTTGATGTTGGTGGTGGGGTGTTAATGTAGGTAGTGGGGTGTTGATGTTGGTGGTGGGGTGTTAATGTAGGTAGTGGGGTGTTGATGTTGGTGGTGGGGTGTTAATGTAGGTAGTGGGGGGTTGATGTGGTGGTGAGGGTGTTGATGGTGGTGTTGATGCTGGTGGTGTATTGATGTTGGTGAAGGTGGTGGGGGTGTTGATGTTGGTAGTGGACAGGTGTTGATGTTGGTAGTGGAGGTGTTGATGTTGGTAGTGGGGTGTTGATGTTGGTGGTGAGGGTGTTGATGGTGGTGTTGATGTTGGTGGTGTATTGATGTTGGTGAAGGTGGTGGGGTGTTGATGTTGGTAGTGGAGGTGTTGATGTTGGTAGTGGAGGTGTTGATGTTGGTAGTGGAGGTGTTGATGTTGGTAGGTGGAGGTGTTGATGTTGGTAGTGGAGGTGTTGATGTTGGTGGTGGTGGTGGGGGTGTTGATGTTGGTGAAGGTGGTGGAGGTGTTGATGTTGGTGATGGTGAGGGTGTTGATGTTGGTAGTGAGGGTGTTGATGGTTGTGGGGGTGTTGATGTTGGCTCAGGTTGTTTGTGCGCCTTTGTGAACTTTGTCTCTGTGAGTGCTATAATGTCTGTGGATTCATATACTATTCGTACACTAAATATGTCAGTTTTGTTTGTTATAACATCTGTTTACGTATTATACAATACTTTCTGTTATTGTGGTTTACTTTTCGGGTTCCTGATCTGGTCCTTGTCCATGGGACAGGTGGGTGGGAGGGGGTTGTAGGGAGATTTTGGAGTTGGGGGTTAGGTTAATAGGTTGTTGCAGGGACGGGGCTTGCACTAGAAGTGGTCGGTATCGTGGATGTGTGTGAGGGAGGGTGGTGAGTAATGGGAGGCGAGGATTAGTAGGGGATATGGGTTGGGATGAAAGGTAGTTGTGAGGAACCTTTTGGTAATGGAATTGTTTAAGAATATAGGTGAAGATGGGAAGGATGCAGGGGAAGAATATGATTTGTTTAGAGTTATTTTGATTGAGTGGGAATGAGAGGTAGGGCTTGAGAAGTGTGTGTGTGTGTGTATGCACACGTATACACACGCGCATATACGTATGCATACCCGTACGGATATGCACACTACCAACGACAGGCTTACATGTGGACCTTTACATGTCATCGTGGAGGCAATACACAGGCACAGTTACAAACTGGTACTCAGTACATACACTTAGAAAGTGATGAATATAATTCATGAAAAGTAGAGAGTGCAGGTAAAAACCTTTAGCAGCGGTGCGTGAAAAACCTACTTTCTTCCAACCTCTATAACTTAAAAAAAACAAGACATGAGAGTTCCTCCGTTAAGACAACCATAACACAATACATGTATGTGTGAAGGTAAAGATTTATGCTCTAGCAGAAGGTTTAATTGGGACAATATTTCACTCTATGCAGAGCTTTATTAAGCCATACCTTGATTAAGCTCTTTAAAAACCTGTGTTTGTAATCATATTTGTCGGTAATGCATCTTTCTGTCCAGTAAATATTATGTGACTTGATAGACTATGTACATCTAAAACAAACAATAGTATAATACGTAATATATACAGGATGTACAAGGTGGATATGTAATATATACAGGATGTACAAGGTGGATATGTAATATATACAGGATGTACAAGGTGGATATGTAATATATACAGGATGTACAAGGTGGATACGTAATATATGCAGGATGTACAAGGTGGATACGTAATATATACAGGATGTAAAAGGGTTTGGATACGTAATATATACAGGATGTACAAGGTGGATATGTAATATATACAGGATGTACAAGGTGGGTACGTAATATATACAGGATGTACAAGGTGGATACGTAATATATACAGGATGTACAAGGTGGATACGTAATATATACAGGATGTACAAGGTGGATACGTAATATATACAGGATGTACAAGGTGAACACGTAATACATACAGGATGTACAAGGTGGATACGTAATATATACAGGATGTACAAGGTGGATACGTAATATATACAGGATGTACAAGGTGGATACGTAATATATACAGGATGTACAAGGTGGATACGTAATATTGTTTACAATTATCTCTTATCATTTGTGAAGATTATGCTAGAAGAGGGATAGTGTCGTATTTTTGATGGTGTACAGCAGCGACAGGTTGATGAATGAGATACCTTAGTGTTGTACCTGGGATAGAGAGAACAGTACAATAAATGCAGACTGAATGTGCAGTGACTGGCAGGCAGTGGTGGTTCCCGTCCCACACCAAATATTGGCGTCGTCTTGCTGCCTTCCACTGCTTCTCTTTCTCTCTCTGTTTTCTTTATTTTGTTTACGTGTTCACACATCGTCTTAATTTTTTCTTTTGTTTTCTATTTTCTCTTTTTGAAGATGTTTGTCACTTCTCACACATCATAAATAACATCATAAACAGTCAACATAATGAAAATTATATAGGTCAGGCACGTTAAATATGATCACATTATCCTTGGCGGTGGCGAAGGGCTCTTGATTCAAGGAACTGAAGCTAGTCTTTCTTAATTTGTATTAAACCTGATTATCTTCTGTTCCCTGGGCGCTTTTTGACCCTTACGAGTTTAACTCTTTTCTATGAATTTAATAACTCAAAAAGGTGGGAGATGGGGAGGGGGGGTTATGAGGAATACTTGATGGCTAGGTGCTCTTGATCCAAGAAATTAGAGCTACCGTCTTCTTGGATCAAACTTTCCATCCCAATTCCAAAACGCTGTATAACTCCTAAGGATTTAGCGCTTCTCTATGACCGCAATAAAAAAAATTCGGCTTTAATTGCTCAAGATAATTGTAAGTCATGAGGTTTCCTGGTAGTATTTTTTTTTGTAATTAAGGAGGCCCCGGGAAGGCAGGAGGTAGAAAATAGTTGTGCAGACAACTGAGAAAGGTAGAAAGTGGATACATCCATCTGTAGGGTGAATGAGGCTCAGTTGTCATGGCTTTCCTTTGCGCGCCGCCAAACTGGTGATTTACTCTCATTACATTTGCAGCTATTGCTGTTGTGGCTGACCGTCTGTGTGTTGACTCGTTAGTTAAGACAGCGCTGACGGTGGATTATCTATAATACAGGAGAATTAATAAAATATTTCATTCACTGGTGCGCTGGTGGCAAGAAACACGGGAAATGAGGTGCTTGGCAACGCTTACCAAGTATTGCGTGGTTATATAAGCCTGGTTGAGGGTGGCTTTCTGTTTAGTTGTGTTAGAGCCCTAATGTGAGTGAGGCTGTTGCTCACACAGTTTAGTGTCTGTTGCTCACACAGTGTAGTGCCTGCTGCTCACACAGTGTAGTGCCTGCTGCTCACACAGTGTAGTGCCTGCTGCTCACACAGTGTAGTGCCTGCTGCTCACACAGTGTAGTGCCTGTTGCTCACACAGTGTAGTGCCTGTTGCTCACACAGTGTAGTGCCTGTTGCTCACACAGTGTAGTGCCTGCTGCTCACACAGTGTAGTGCCTGCTGCTCACACAGTGTAGTGCCTGCTGCTCACACAGTGTAGTGCCTGTTGCTCACACAGTGTAGTGCCTGTTGCTCACACAGTGTAGTGCCTGTTGCTCACACAGTGTAGTGCCTGTTGCTCACACAGTGTAGTGCCTGCTGCTCACACAGTGTAGTGCCTGTTGCTCACACAGTGTAGTGCCTGTTGCTCACACAGTGTAGTGCCTGTTGCTCACACAGTGTAGTGCCTGCTGCTCACACAGTGTAGTGCCTGCTGCTCACACAGTGTAGTGCCTGTTGCTCACACAGTGTAGTGCCTGTTGCTCACACAGTGTAGTGCCTGTTGCTCACACAGTGTAGTGCCTGTTGCTCACACAGTGTAGTGCCTGTTGCTCACACAGTGTAGTGCCTGCTGCTCACACAGTGTAGTGCCTGTTGCTCACACAGTGTAGTGCCTGCTGCTCACACAGTGTAGTGCCTGCTGCTCACACAGTGTAGTGCCTGCTGCTCACACAGTGTAGTGCCTACACGCTGGACATTGCATAAAGACACAAAATATTCGTCGGGTACTTATCATGCGACGGAAGCAAAGATCACTCTCTGCAGGTTCGTTGAAATCTCCAGCATTTGTGTTTATGCATGACCTGTCAGTATCATACGACGTATGTGGAAAATATGTTTTGTCGAATAACTCTGTGTGTGTGTGTGTGTGTGTGTGTGTGTGTGTGTGTGTGTGTGTGTGTGTGTGTGTGTGTGTGTGTGTGTGTGTGTGTGTGTGTGTGTGTGTGAGGGGGGGGAAGTCACTCTTTAAATCATACCTTAGGTAAATCAACAGGTAAGTCACTCTGTCTGACTTTTTTGGGTTATCCTAGGTTCTCTACACATATGCTGCTATGTATGATAATTCTATGTAACTGTATTTGTGTTTACCTGAATAAACTTACTTACTTACTTAGTTACAAATAAACCTTTTACGAATGCGTTACAAATATAAAAAAAATGTTCGACAGTGAAGGTGGGGGGTAGCAAGGTGGAGGGGTAGCAAGGGGGGGGGGGGGTAGCAAGGTGGGGGGGTAGCAAGGTGGGGGGTAGCAAGGTGGGGGGTAGCAAGGTGGGGGTAGCAAGGGGGGGGTAGCAAGGCAACATTTAAAGAATTTGTGCAAAATATTGCTTCATTATAATTACAAAAAAAAGGCTTTATCTGTGGTAGGCGTGTAAGGTATCCCACGGTATGGTATCCCACGGTAAGGTATCCCACGGTATGGTATAAACCTTGGTAATAAATACCGACAAGTTGGTTTAGAAAGACACGTAAGCAAACACTATAACATATTTATTAGAAAACGTTTCGGTCCTGGAACCTTGATCACTTCTAACATACATGTATGTATAATGTTCGCCAAGACCGTAGTCCTGGCACGGGTCTCAATCTTGCGATGACCCGTCTAACATACAGAGGTAGAAAGACATTATATATATAGGCGGAGAGTGAGATGTGACGCACGTGACCTGAGGAATGTCATAAGAACATAAGAATGGAGGAACACTGTAGAAGGCCTACTGGCCCATGCGAGGCCTGATTACATCGTCTTCAAGTATCTTCTGCTTCTATCAACTTTTCTGTACTTGACTGAAGAAGCCTACTGTGTAGGCGAAACGTTTCATAATAATAAAATATTAACTTGACATTGGCATACATGATACTTAAGCAGCACCAACCCAACAACACAGGAGTCACGTGATTTCATCGTCTACCCTCGCCTCGCATGGGCCAGTAGGCCTTCTACAGTGTTCCTCCATTCTTATGTTCTTATGACATTCCTCAGGTCACGTGCGTCACATCTCACTCTCTGCCTATATATATAATGTCTTTCTACCTCTGTATGTTAGAAGTGATCAAGGTCCCAGGACCGAAACGTTTTCTAATAAATATGTTATAGTGTTTGCTTACGTGTCTTTCTAAACCATCCCACGGTATCCCCTGGAAACATGGTATCCCCTGGAAACATGGTATCCCCTGGAAACATGGTATCCCCTGGAAACATGGTATCCCCTGGAAACATGGTATCCCCTGGAAAACATGGTATCCCTGGAAACATGGTATCCCCTGGAAACATGGTATCCCCTGGAAACATGGTATCCCCTGGAAACATGGTATCCCCTGGAAACATGGTATCCCCTGGAAACATGGGTAAGCACACTTATCCTTCACAACTTCAAAAAAAAAAATTATTAACTTGTCATTTTTCAGACCTCGTAGTGCCCCTACTGGTTTAATGCTTCATTAATATTTCAATCGACCTACACCAGAGCCTCGTGTTTTGAAAAACTGGAACTGAAAAGGGGGAACTATTATCCCTCCGACGTTCTCTAAACATATATGAAAATTCACGTTATTTTTTTTCCCGTTAGCGAGAAAGTTTTCCTATCTTCAGATTTATTAAATAAATAAATTTATATTTAAACTTCAACTTCACCGCGACCCAAAAATCGTTAAGATATATTACTAACAATGAAGCTAAAAACCACTCAATTAATCTTGGAAACGAACGAAGTAAAAAATCTTGAAACAAAATACACCACAATACTCACCTTGTTGTTGTTTATAGCGGTACTGTATATATCAGAAGTGTGCTGCTAGGCTCTTCTGATAGTTATACAGTGGCAACAAAAGCTAGCTGTGTTTCCTTGTCATATTCCGTCAAACACGATGGTGTTACCTTGACACATTCTATCACAGTACGGTGTTTACCTGTCATATTCCATCACACAGTATGGTGTTTACCTGTCATATTCCATCACACAGTATGGTGTTTACCCGGATTGTAGATGAATGGTTCAAAGAACCGACATGTTGTTAAATTAGACACATGTGCAACTCTTGGGTATCTTTATTGAGGAAACGTTTCGCCACACAGTGGTTTCATCAGTCCATACAAAGGATAAACTTGAAGAACAGGAGGAGAATGAGGTAATCAGTCCCTCAACCTTGAGTCGATGTGGTCAGTCCATCAATCTTGAATAGAATACGACATAGGAGCGGAGAAGCAGCTTATAAACCGTATGGCAGGAGAGGTGCAGCAGTCGTAGGTGGTGTCACATTTGTCCAATGTGGAAGTAGGTCGTGCCCAAGGGTAAGGCAAGCGAAGAATTCCCAAGTATTAAGATCCCAAGAAGTTGCAGTGTCTGACAGGATTGTAGATAAATGGTTCACAGAACCGACACGTTGGTAAATAGACACATGTGCAACTCTTGGGTATCTTTATTAAGGAAACGTTTCGCCACACGGTGGTGAAACTTTTGTTGATAATTGACTAGCAAACAAAATTATCTCGACTTACTCTTCCCAGAGAAAATAACTGATTGTAATTGTTGCAGTGGTAGTTGCAATAGTAGTAATAGTAGTAGTAATAGTAGCGGTAGTGGTAGTAGCAGTAACAGTAGTAGTAGCAATAGTAGTAGTAGCAGTAATAGTAGTAGCAGCAATAATAATAGTGGTAGTAATAGCAGCAGTAGTAGTAACAGTAGTAGTAGCAGTAATAGCAGCAGTAGAATAGTATCAGCAGCAGCTGCTACTATCACCATTGGTAGGTATTAGTAAAACAAAGCTTGGCGCTCACTTGACCTGTGTAAACCTCTGTTTACAACTTTTATTAAATTATGTATCGTGGGTCACATCCTGGGTGTGGTCAACTCTTAGGTCACATCCTGGGTGTGGTCAACTCTTAGGTCACATCCTGGGTGTGGTCAACTCTTAGGTCACATCCTGGGTGTGGTCAACTCTTAGGTCACATCCTGGGTGTGGTCAACTCTTAGGTCACATCCTGGGTGTGGTCAACTCTTAGGTCACATCTTGGGTGTAGTCAACTCTTAGGTCACATCCTTGGTGTGGTCAACTCTTAAATCACATCTTGGGTGTGGTCAACTTTTAGGTCACATCCTGGGTGTGGTCAACTTTTAGGTCACATCCTGGGTGTGGTCAACTCTTAGGTCACATCCTGGGTGTCGGCAACTCTTAGGTCACATCCTGGGTGTCGGCAACTCTTAGGTCACATCCTGGGTGTGGTCAACTCTTAGGTCACATCCTGGGTGTGGTCAACTCTTAGGTCACATCCTGGGCGTGGTCCACTCTCGTGGATCACATCTTGGGGTGGTCCACTCTCGTGGATCACATCTTGGGGTGGTCCACTCTCGTGGATCACTTCTTTGGGTGGTCCACTCTCGTGGATCACATCTTGGGGTGGTCCACTCTCGTGGATCACATCTTGGGGTGGTCCACTCTCGTGGATCACATCTTGGGGTGGTCCACTCTCGTGGATCACATCTTGGGGTGGTCCACTCTCGTGGATCACATCTTGGGGTGGTCCACTCTCGTGGATCACATCTTGGGGTGGTCCACTCTCGTGGATCACATCTTGGGGTGGTCCACTCTCGTGGATCACATCTTGGGGTGGTCCACTCTCGTGGATCACATCTTGGGGTGGTCCACTCTCGTGGATCACATCTTGGGGTGGTCCACTCTTGTGGATCACATCTTGGGGTGGTCCACTCTCGTGGATCACATATTGAGGTGGTCCACTCTTGTGGATCACATCTTGGGGTGGTCCACTCTCGTGGATCACATATTGAGGTGGTCCACTCTCGTTGATCACATCTTGGGGTGGTCCACTCTTGTGGATCACATCTTGGGGTGGTCCACTCTCGTGGATCACATATTGAGGTGGTCCACTCTCGTGGATCACATCTTGGGTGTGGTCCACTTGTGGATCACATCTTGGGGTGGTCCACTCTCGTGGATCACATATTGAGGTGGTCCACTCTCGTGGATCACATCTTGGGTGTGGTCCACTCTTGTGGATCACGTCTGTCTCCTTAATGTTTATTGGTAGGGGCCCTTAGCGACCCGGGCAACCAAAGCGCTCGGTAAACATCACGACGGCTGCTAACTTTCGCTAAAGCTACAATAATATTTAAAAATAAGCTTCTTGCCTCATATATCATAGCTCGGCTGGCTTTAATGTATACTGAGGCAGGATAACAATACTGACCATGTGTGGGTGACCTGTATACTGAGGCAGGATAACAATACTGACCATGTGTGGGTGACCTGTGTACTGAGGCAGGATAACAATGCTGACCATGTGTGTGTGACCTGTATACTGAGGCAGGATAAGAATACTGTGTGTGGGTAACGTGTATTATGTTATTCAAGATATAACTCTGTGCTGATATATCCTCCCGTGACCAATTAAGTTGTTTAATTACGTAGTTAAGTAATCTTATACTCTCCAACCACACACTTGTAATTACAAGCGATGAATGTTTCCTGAGAGGATGTTGGTGTTGGTAAGAAGTTGCAAACGGATGTTGCACAGTGTTGTCACAAAAAGTGATGCAACTGAGGAAAATGATGAACTCTGATGCCTCAGCTGCAACACCCTCCTCCTCCTCCTCCTCCTTCTCCTGCATAAGCTTGAAGAATGGCACTTGTGCAACATTTGGGAATCCTTATTGAGGAAACGTTTCGCCCACAGTGGCTTCATCAGTCTAATACAAAGAAGAACGGTAGAAGAAGAGAAAGAGTTTCAGAAAATCAGTCCCTGATT